CCCCCTATTGGGGTAAGGGGGCAATCAGAGGCAGGGCCGGCCGGGGGAGGGGCTGCGGGAGGTTGGCTGGCTGGCCCCACCCCGATCCATCAGGTTTACTGGCTGCAGTGGGCGTCATAGCAACGGGTCGTTCGGTTGTTACTGCGTTCTGGTCGCTGGCTTTTTATATATATAGACTAGAGGCCCGGTGCACAAAAATTTGTGCACTCGGGGGGGGGGGAGGGGGGGTCCCTCAGCCCGGCCTGTGCCCTCTCGCAGTCTAGGACCCCTCGGGAGATAACGACCTGCTGGCTTAGGCCTGCTCCTGGGTGGGAGAAGGCAGGCCCAATCCTAGGTGCAGCCCCTGTTGGGCTCAGGACAGGGCTGATTGGGGAAGGGTCGCCGCCCCCTGTCATGCACAGAGCAGGGCGGATTGGGAGGTTGTGATCCACCCTCAGTCACGCTCAGGGTAGGGCTGATTGGGGGGTTGGGGCACCACCCCCTATCACACTCAAGGCAGGGTCAATGGGGAGGTTGCGGAGCCACCCCCTGTGATGCACAGAGCAGGGCCAATCAGGGGGTTGGGGCGCTGCCCCCTGTCACTCACAGAGCAGGGCCAATCAGGGGGTTGGGGCACTGCCCCCCCCCCCCCGTCACGCACAGAGCAGGGCCCATCAGGGGGTTGGGGAGCTCCCCCCTGTCACGCACAGAGTAGGGCTGATAGGGGAGTTAGGGCACCGCCCCCTGTCACACACACAGCAAGGCGGATCAGGGGGTTGGGGCGTCGCCCTCTTACACCCACAGAGCAGGGCCGATCAGGGGGTTGGGGCACCGCCACTGTCACACTCAGGGCAGGGCCGATGGGGAGGTTATGGCTCTACCCCATCACACACAGAGCAGGGCCCGTGGGGGGAGGGGGGGGTTGGGGCGCCACCCCCTGTCACACACAGAGCCGCAGGGCAATCAGGGGGTTGGGATGCCACACCCTGTCACACACAGAGCCGCAGGGCGATCAGGGGGTTTGGGCGCTGCACCCTGTCACGCTGATCTGGTGCCAGGAGGGCTCGCGGCTCCGCTGATCCCGGTGCTGGGAGGCATATTACCCTTTTACTATATAGGATAGAGGCCTGGGGGCCGGCTGGTTTGCCCTGAAGGGTGTCCTGGATCAGGGTGGGGGTCCCCACTGGGATGCCTGGCCAGCCTGGATGAGGGGATGATGGCTGTTTGCAGCTGGTCACACACCCTTCAGGGTGGGGGTCCCCACTGGGGTGCCTGGCCAGTCTGGGTGAGGGGCTGAGGTCTGCTTTCAGGCTGGCGGTTTTGACTGAAGCTCCCAACCGCTCCTTTTTTTCTTTTCTTCTGGGCCAGCTTTAGCTCTGGCTCTAGCTCTGAGGCTTCCGCTGCTGGTTTGTTTGCCGTTCTATAATCGAAACAATGTATAACTTCAGCTCTGAGATCCCAGCCGGCTATATTTGTTAGAATGTTTCAAACTGCCAGCTCAGGCGGGGAACGTTGGAGTCTGCAGTCACTGGAGCAAGGAAGCCTCATGTTCGCTTCCAGCTGCGTGGCTGCCGGCCGCCATCTTGGCTGACAGTTAATTTGCATAAGGATATGCTGATTAGCCAATGGGAAGGGTAGCGGTCGTACGCCAATTACCATTTTTCTCTTTTATTAGTGTAGATACCCATGAAAGTCACACTCGAATCCTAGCTAAACCAATTCCTTTCAAAGCCCTTTTCAGGTCTGTACAATTTTTGATAAAATTATTTATACCTCACAGGGTTGTTATATGAATTAAATATTACATGTAAACTCTCACAAAATGGTACCTGCATAAAATGTTATATAAATGCTAGTTCCTCTTATCTTCCCTTTTAGAAGTGGCTAAGAGAAGAAACATCCTCAATGTTTTATTTAATTCTTTTTTTCCTACACCATATGGAGAATGTAATGGATGCATTTGATTGGTCATCCAGGGTAATTTAGGACAACCAATTGTCTTCATATTTCTTAAGGTAACAGAGAAGAGCTCAGGGTTGTCCTCTACCCTTATACAACTAACAAACATGTAGGTCAAATCTACTAGAAAGCCTCCCTCTCAAACGTCTTAAAACTGGCCTTTACAATAACAATCAGAAATATTCTTCACTGACAATTATTGCCTGTATATTGTGGATGTCAGGCACTATACTAGGTACTAGGTACTGAGGACAAAGATAGAAGAAAATGTTATCCCTGTCTTCCAAGAGCTGACATAGCTTTTACTCTCATTACTTCTGTTTCTATGTCTGGAAGTGAACCAGTAACTACTTAAGTATTCATTAATTTAGAATTGCACTGTTCAATACATTGGCCAATAGCCACATGTGTAACTACTAAATACTTGAAATGTGGCTAGCACAAACTGAGGTGCATTGTAAGTATAAAATATACACTGAATTTCAAAGAGTATGAAACAAATGTGAAAGATCTCAATGTTTTTATATTAAATGATGAAATAACATTTTAAATATACTGGGTTAAATAAATTATTAAAATTAATTTCACCTGTTTTAAAGGAGACCACTAGAAAATGTTACATAAACCATTACTCATTAAACTATTATTAATACTCTTTATAAATCATAAAATCAGAAATCACTTTGTTCAATCCTCACATTTTACATATAAGAAAATTTAGTCCCAAAGAAATTAAGTTGCCAACATCACATATAGATTAAAGAAACAAGGACAAGAAGCCAGTGCCTGACCATGGATAAGGATCCACAACTTCCCAAGGGGGTGGGGTAGGGGGGAGGCGGGGAGAAAGATCTTTATCCTTTTGTTTTTGTTTTGTGCTTTTTACTTAGATTCCTCTCACATAACACCTGTAAATTGGTAGAGTAAGAAGTGAGAACTTTTACATATTCTAATTCTGAAATCTTGGACAAATCAATGTCTCTGGATTTCAGCTTATATAACTGAAGATTGAGGACTGGACTAAATGGTCTTGGATTACAGGTTCTAGCTAACTTAAAACATTTTATAATTTCAAATCAATATTCAGACAGTATAAAGAGTTGGTTGACAACAGAAACTCAAAAATGTTGAATCATACCTCAGACTTAGCAATAAAACAGAACCAAAAGAATAAAATGCAGCTTTTTGCATTGGTAGGTTACATGTTATATTGTAGCAGTCTGGGGCCAAATATATCTATCTAGTAATTAACAGTGGTCTCTTTTGTAATTTTTGCATTTAGAGGTACTTAACCCTGAAATCTTCTTTCCTCACAATCATTAAAGGATACTCTTCTTCCAACAACATTTTCTCAATGACAGCTCTGTTCTCTTCACTGATGGTGCTATCCAGAGTCCAAGGCTATTATAAAAGAGAAGAACATATTTTCTTTTTATTTACTACTTTTTGAAGTTATCTTCCATATTTTGTTAAATGAAAATATATAATATGATTAACAATAACATCTGTCATTTGCTGAGCACATGGACATAGCTTTGATTCCCACAATAACTCCATGAAATAGGCATTACTTCACAGAGGCATCCCTAGCACTGCTAACATTTCAAGTGGAAGAGCAGAGACTTGACACACCAGTCTGTTAGACTCCCAAGGCTCAAGCTCCTATCTGTGATACAGTAATAATGGCTATCTACAATAATAAAAGCATAATATGCTAATTAGACCAGATGTCCTTTCGGACGACCTTCTGGACGAAGCCGGCGCTGTGAGGGAAGCCTGGGTCCCGGGTGCCTGCAGGCAGCCGGAGGGAAGCCCGGGTCCCAGGTGCCAGAGGGATGCTGGTGCCAGCAGCCGGGGGGAAGGAAGGTCTACTCTTGCATGACTTTCGTGCATCGGGCCTCTAGTCATGTATAAAGGACTATTAGTTATCAGAATTTTGCTAGATACTTCACCTATTTCCAAAACTCACAATTCTTTTTTCCCTCAAGCCGCAATCTCTCCTTGAATGATCACACTCATTTTCAACTCTCAAAACTTAAAAAATTTCAGCTCAGGTCTCCTCTCCAAAATCTAGACTGTTATTTCCAACTGCCCCCTCAAAACTTCCACTTGGGTATCTAGCAGGCTTCTTAAATTTAACATTTAAAACATAACTCACCATCACATACCTTCCTTCACCTGCTTCTTCCCCGACCTTTTCAACTTTATAGACGCCACTACTGGTCACCAAGTTATTCCAGCCAGAAACCCAAGAATCACCCTGGATTCTTTCCTTTTCCTTCAATCCTATGTCCAGTCTACCAAGGAGCTCAATCTCCAAAATATAATTAAATCTGTCTACTTCTATTGACTCTGCCACAACCTCAGGCTAAGCTACCACCAAATACTGCTTAGATTACTCAAATGTTTCCTAACTGGTCTCTTGATTCCTACAAATATGACAGAGCTCTCATCTGCCTTTCCAACCTTGTCACAGCTATCAACCCCCTTCCCTTACCATATTCTAGAACTGGCTTCCAACCAGCCTTTGTGATACTATTCTTTCTGCCTAATGTTTTCCCTCAACTCGTCACATATCTACTCCCCTCTTTTTATTACATTTCAACTTAAAAGTCACCTCCTCAGTTTCCCATACTGACAACTTTATCTAAAGTAGGTTCCCCATCCTGTCACCCTTAGTCTGTATCTAATGTCCTTAATGATTTATAATTAGTCTATTTGTTTAATACCTGACTCTTTAGACTATAAGCTCCTTGAGAGCAGAACCATGTCTATCTTAATTATAGTTGGAACCCCCAAATCTGGTCTAGTGTCTGGCACATAGTACATACTCAGTAAATAATTGTTAAATGAGGAAATGAACCCTGCAACGATCCCCATTTTTCAGATGAAACTGAGGTTCACAAATCAGCAAGGACTTGTATTCAAATCCAGCTGGATCCAACAGTTGTTTCCCAGTTGTGGCCATTTTTCAAAGTCAAAAGAAATAAGAATAAGTTTCTGCTATTTTTACAGTAAGAAAAATGTTTTGCCTAACTGGTTTGGCTCAGTGGATAGAGTGTTGGCCTGTGAACTGAAGGGTCTCAGGTTCGATTCCGGTAAGGGCACATGCCTGGGTTGTGGGCTTGATCCCCAGTAGGGGGTGTGCAGGAGGCAGCCAATCAATGATTCTCTCATCATTGATGTTTCTATCTCTCTCTCCCTCTCCCTTCCTCTCTGAAATCAATAAAAATATATTTTAAAAACAAGTTTAAATTTATTACCTCTGTGATTGCTGAGAACTAGCACCAAATTAAAAAAAAAAAAAAGAGGTACTTTGGGTAATGAGTAATAGCTTAATGTCCCTAATATTTTCATAAAATACTTACAATAAGACCATTCTCAGTTCTCCATGATGAATCAAGATAGTGATCTTGTAAAATAGATGCTGTATTTTCATCGTTTCTGAAATAAGAAAATGAGTATAAAAGTGATATTGTATCAGTTAATGTATACATTTTATACATTGTAGTGACTGGCAGGTTGAGATGTTAAGCAAATATTTAGTTCCCTTCTCTCCTTAACAGATTTAATGTTGTAGAAATGCCTGTGGTACCTCTTTGGTCTGTGAATTACATAGTGCTTTAAGTTATCCTATCTCAACTGCTAAACCTCAAGTCCATTCACTTCTTTTGTTTCCCAAGAATAAACAACTTCATGAGGAAAAAAAATAACCCAAAGCAGCAACCACACATGCTCTGTGGCCATGAATCAACACTTCAGATTTCTTTTGAGGCGTATGTAGAAATTCAACTTTATAATTAATTCTTTTAGATATACGTAAAGCATGAAAGCTACCATCAATAGCACCACCCTCAAAATGGAAACAAATAAAAAATAAATGGAAGAACCTGAATAGAAAATACTTGAAGGACAGTACAATGAAGAGATAAGAGAGTGTAATGTTTTAATAACAACTCATATAATTTAACAAGGTAACTTGGGTTATTTGGGCTCTTTTCTATATCCCTGAGGGATCAAACTTTGTTAATTCACTTCTTTCATTAGTAAACTATTAAGAACTCTCTCAAGTCACATGTTCACTTCATATGCAAAAAAGCTAAATAGTTAAATATTTAAGTTTTGGAAGGCCTAATCTATGATATAAATTTAATTTTTGCTTTTGTATGTCCTGAAGTTATAAATTTTCCTAGTTAAGTTACTGACTTTTCCCAGACCTAGTGTAGTACTAAGAATTTGACTGCAAAAACCTATCTATGGGTTTACATTTTTTAATCTTCAATTAGTTCCACAATGGTTATAATGAATTGTGGGGCTAACAGACTATCTACAATAAACTAAAAGTGATAATGTCTCTCAATTGTTGATGCCAAAAAGGTTTTACCTCAAGTGTCAATTCAGATTTGGTAGGGACTACCAGAAATACAAACTAAGGGATTCTGAGACTTGGATCAGCAGAAGAAAAGATTTACTTAACTAGGTCTGCCAAGGATGCAGGAGGTGGGACTAGTACCACTTCAAGTGTACTTTAGAAATCTTTTTACATGGTATTTCTCAGTAAGGATCAGCAACATCCACATCGCTGGTGTATGTGTCTGGACACCTACCTGAAGCTCCACAGGTACCCCATATTAGCATGTTTAAACCTGAGTTCACCTTTCCTCTCAAATATGCTACTCTTTTATCATTACCTATCTCAGTCTATGGCACCTCCATCCCCTAGTCCCAAGCCAGAAATCTGCACCTGCCCTTATTTCCTCAAAATGCACATTCAACCTGTTGCCAATTCTGTTGCTTCTTCCTTTTCCAAATCCAGTTTTTACACTACATCCACACTGACCTTTGAGGCCCCATAGTTTCAGTCCTGATAATTATCCCTGGTTAATTGCAAGGGATTAGGTTGATAAGTCAGTCGTCCACCTTCCCTCCTTTATCTTTTCCACTTTTCCCCACCTGATATATTCAGAAATGTTACTGTCTGTCTCACCTAATAAGAATGATAGTTCTATGAAAGCAAAGACGTAGTTTTGGTAACTGCTGTATACTCAGGGCTTGGCATACAAAAGGTGTTCAATCAATATTTCTTAAATGATTGAATGAACGAGGTAGGTGAGGCATGGACCACACAGGTCTCTCTAGGAGTTAAGGAATGAAGAAGACTTTATCATAAAGCCAACTAGGGATTGAAGAAAATAACATGGTCAGACCTGGATGTAAGAAAGAATGCTCTAACTTCAGGAAAGAGTAGAAGGAGCCAAAGAGACAAGGAGCAGTTAAGAGGGAATGTTTACAGTATAAGCACTAGAAAAAGGTGACAGTAACTTAGACCTAGAGAACAAGCAGTGTGAATAGGAACAAGTGAATACATTTGAGAGGATACTAAGAATCAACAGATCCTTCATAACTGATAGAAGTGGAAGGAGAGAGGTAAGGAAAAGAATACATATAGGTCTGTTCCTTGGGTGACTGGGTGGATGGTGCCATTTACTGAAGTAGGGAACCCAGAGAGGCACATGTGGTGGGGAAGGTTTATAAGCTGAGATTGAGGGACTTGTGGAACATCCAAATGCAAACAGACTGAGAAAGTTGGATAAATGGATCTGAAAACACTATGATTTAAAGCAGGGGTCCTCAAACTTTTTAAACAGGGGGCCAGTTCAATGTCCCTCAGACCGTTGGAGGGCCGGACTATAGTTTAAAAAAAAACTATGAACAAATTCAGCAACAGGCAGCAGCGGCAAAAACACCCAGCGGGCCGGATAAATGTTTTCGGCGGGCCGCATGTGGCCCGTGGGCCGTAGTTTGAGGACCCCTGATTTAAAGGACAAGCAGAAGAAAAGGAGGATGATAAGGAATGGTAGGAGAAATAGAAAGGAAAAAAGTTTCAATGCCACCTTCTAACTCGGGTACCTAGCACTTAGCAAGTGCAAATGCTCCTTGACTTATGATGGAGTTTTGTCCTGATAAACCCATCCTAAGTAAAAAATGCATTTAACACTTGAGTGGGGAAACGAGTTAAGTCGGCTCGCGTGA